AAGGCCGAGTGAAATATGGAATCAAGCTTCTTCAGTACAGTACTTGGGGCTGATTTATACACGATGTCACAGTAGTCAAGTAGAGGCAGTATGGTAGCTTTTATCAATTCCAAACGGAACATTGGGGGGAAGCAGTGCTTGTGTCGATACAGAAAACCAATTTTTATTTTGTCTTTTTACCAATATAATCAATGTGATCTTGAAAATTCAGTTTTGAATTAAAGATGACCCCAAGATACTTATAGATCTTGACTTGCTCTATGTGATGATTATTTAAGGAATATAATTTCGGAAAAAAAATAACCTGATGTTGTAATTTGTTGAAATCACGCTGGAGCTTAGCAATCACGTCATCTGGCGAGCGGCCAGCAGTAATCAGTATCGTGTCATCTGCAAACATATTTACCCTGGAATGATTCAGGTCAGTGCCCAAGTCATTGACATAAAGAGAGAACAAGAGGGGACCGAGGATGGAACCCTGTGGAACCCCTTTTGTTATCTTGACACTGTTTGACCTCCAACCATCTATGAATACAGTTTGGGTGCGAGAAGAGAGGTAATTTTATAACCATTCTACTGCATGCTTGGAGAAACGGAGGCAATTTAGTTTACGAAGCAGGGTGTTGTGGTCGACTGTATCAAAGGCTTTGGACAAGTCAAGAAAAAGACTGGTGCAGTACTGCTGATTATCAAGGCTACTGTAAATGTGATTCAGAAAGTCTAATGCAGAAGATGTGGTGCTGTACTTTTTTTCGGAACCCAGATTGGTTTCGATGTAATAGATTGTTGTCGGACAGGATACTGCTAATTTGGTAGTTCAATAATTTTTTTAAAAAAATCATCAACGGGGACAAAATTGAGATAGGTCGGTAGTTATTTGGATCATCTTTAGGGCCTCCTTTATGAAGTGGACGAACATAGGAATGTTTCCATTCTAGAGGTACTGATACTTCCTTGATGGACAGGTTGAAAATATGGGCTATAGGTTTATCTATTAGGTGACCAACAGTTAGCAGAGCAAAGACGGGAATACTATCCGCTCTGGTAGAGGAGGACCCTTTGAGGTAGGACAGTTGTTTCAGAACATTACTTTCGTGGATAGGCTGGAAACTATATTCGTTTAATGTTTGGACAGGGGTGTAGGAAATTGCATGAGCAGGGGTGACTCCCAAAATATTCTCAAAAAGGTCACCAGGTAGGGGTGTAGAGGCCCTTACCTAGGGCAGGGTTAACATCAACAGTTGCCACAAGATTGCGCCGAAGGAGGCTCGGTGCCACCAACCAAGGCAGCTTCTCTTCAACTGCCGCGACAACTGCCGTGAATTTGAGGGCTGTGGGCAGAGTGCATGGGGGAGGGGCCCAGTGTGTGGTTACGTTTCATAACTTGACGCTGTTGTGGTTATAAAGGAAAACAGCAGTTATTCAGTGTGTTTATTTAGTGGTGTTCTTTATATCATATAAAATACCATACATAGGCCAATAGAACTTACGTGAAACAATTAAACGAATGAAAAAGCAACCGACTAAACACACTCACTCACACAACCACTGACCCATGACCACTGATCTATTCACTTATCATACACTGATTCACTCATTATACACGCACTCATCATACGCTGACTCACTCACACATCATACACTCACTCACATTATCACTGACTCACTCACACATCATACACGGACTCCCTCATCATACGCAGACTCACACATCATACACTCACTCACACTACCACTGACTCACTCACACATCATACACTGGGAGTGTTATGCTGCCAGCTATGACTGCAAGTTTGATTGGACATGTTATGTATATCGTTTATTGTTAAATTTGAATCATAGTTCTTATGATTACTGTTGTTACATTGCTTTTATAGCTTTATTTTGGTGATTTCAAAAACATATGGTTAAGCCATGTTTCTTGCGGAAGTGCGGAGTTGGCCTGGTAACCTTAATCTAAATAGTCTTATGGTTCATCTTCTTTGGTTCTTTCGGTAAAGTCACGTAGAATGAGAATAAAATAATAAATTGATAAAATAAAATAACACAATAATATTCTCACGACGTTTCGGCCACAACACAAGCGGCCTTCATCAGGTGAAGGGACGAGACTGTCTGGTAGGACAGCGCTGGAGTGAAAAAGCCACGTTCAGATCACGACCTTTAAGCTGTGTGAGAGGAAACAAAGCGCCTTGACAAAGGAATTAGCATATAGTTTAGCATTGAAATGGCTGAGTGATTAGCTTGTGACTGGTCACAGAAATGGCTATGTTAAAAGTTAAAGCATACACATCCGCAGAGGCACCCCTTGACAAAGGAATTAGCATAGAATTTAGCATTGAAATAGCTAAGTTAAAGCATACACATCCGCAGAGGCACCCCTTGACAAAGGAATTAGCATAGAATTTAGCATTGAAATAGCTGAGTGATTAGCTTGTAACTGGTCACAGAAATAGCTATGTTAAAGTCAGAGCATACACATTCACCGAGGCACTTAGTACAAATCAAACAGGAGAATTTAGCATTGAAATAACTAGGCGAATTTAGCATTGAAATAACTGAGTGATTAGCTAGTGACTGGTCACAGAAATGGCTATGTTGAAGTCAAGGCCTACACATCTGAGCTGTTCACAGTACTATATAGTGAACCAATAAAAAACTAAAATATAAATTACCTTAATGTTATCAATAAACTCTATATTCTCCAATCAGCTAAGCTACCAACAATAAGTCGTTATATATCACAATGCTATATGGCGAAAAAATGGGTGGATTCTTACCCTCAACTTTAGCAACACGGATAGCTACGGGCCCCGTTCAGACGGACGAGTTCATCCATGGTCGGAACAGAGGAGGGGGAGAGAGACAGCTCCGAGGCGCTATTATACTCCATGTTGTAAACCATACCATTAACTGTGGTGTGAGAGGTATTAAGAGTCAATGCTGGCAAAAGAGCTGCGGTCTGAAGGTCATCGTAAAATACAATTAATTAAGAACAGAAATGGTTTAAACCATCTTTCCAATGGTTACTAAGCCAGAATCCATCTTCTCGGTTGAAATTGTCTCTGTGCTTGTATATGTGAATGGCCTCATGAACGAATCTCTCATGGTAGCCGGTGGGTTTGCAAAGAACCTCCGTCTTGGAGAAGTCAATGTCATGTGAGCCCACTGAATTATGACAGTGATCTGCCACGGCAGAGGAGTTCGTTCTACCGTGTTTCAAGTCTGCTTTATGTTCGCGGATGCGGTCCGAGATATGTCGTTTGGTTTCTCCAATGTAGCTACTACCACAGAGGCACTTTAGTTTGTAAACGCCCGGGTACTGTATGTCTGGAACAGCATATTTTACAGATGGAACTAAATCACGGATTTTATATACTGTGTTGAATCGGACCTGGATCTTGTGTTTATTCAGGATTTTGGAGATCTTTTTAGTGACCCCTGCAATGTAGGGTAAGGTGATGGTTTTGAGTGGCTCCACAAGAGGATCCTTCTTCACGACTGGAGTGATGGCTTTGCGGATTGTGTAGTCGGAGTAACCATTAGCCCTGAGAGCCTGGTGTACATGCTTGAGTTCACTGGTAATGTGTTCCTGGTCGGAAATGCATTGGGCTCTATGGTATAGAGTCTTGATGAGGGAGTTCTTCTGGGATGGATGGTGGTGGGAATCCGGTTTCAAGTAAGCATCTGTATGGGTAGCTTTCCTGTAGACAGAGTGGCTCATTGAACCATCATGTCTCCTTTTAATTAAGACATCCAAAAAGGGTAGTTTGCCATCTTTTTCGACCTCCATGGCAAATCTGATGGCTGGGTGTATGGAATTGATGTGGTCGCGGAATTGGTCTAGAGCAGGCTGGCCATGTGGCCAGATGACAAAGGTGTCATCAACGTACCTCTTCCATAAGGTCGGGCGTAGAGTGGCAGTCTGGATGGCGTCAGTTTCAAATTTTTCCATGAATACGTTGGCTACAACCGGAGATAGTGGGGAGCCCATTGGGGTGCCCTCAGTTTGTTTGTAGAAATTTAAGTCTTATGGTTGTTATTGTTTGACTTGCATCCCACTGGGATTTTTGCACACAGCGTTGTAATATGGTGGTTTTTTGGGGGGAAGATTTGCTGGTTTATCCAGGATGTGTCTGTTGCGCGTCGTCGCTTTCAGATGTTCTCTGTTCATATTTTGTTTGTTGTGGTTGCACCCGACTTAAGAGCCACATGGCTCACAGGGCTATACCTAATAAATGAAACTTGAAACGTTGAAACAAATACAATGTTTATTTTATATAATGGAACTGATAATATGCAGAGTTTGAAACGTATAATTGGATTTTAGCCAGTATTTACACCGCATATGGTCAATAAAAGGTGCACGAGAACAGAAATGTACGAGTCTTATTATGTACACACAACTACATATAGCATGAGAATAATCGCAGCAAATACATTTCATTGCCAGCTCATATTAAGCGTCAACTTCTTTGAGAAATGGGTGTTAAGCATATTTTATTTCCATGTAAAATCCACGAAATTAAAACGTCCATACAGTTTCACTGCACTTAATAAATTAAAAATACACATTCCAGGTTTATCCAAGCTCGATTTCTCGTCAAGGAGCATACATCGCCACGCAAATTCTGGCCATCATCGCAGAAGCTTTTGTATGGCCATCGAATAACGACGGTGGTCACTGCATTGCGCGCTTTCAGACCAACTCCCCCGTCCTCCTTGGGAAATTCATGGTTCGGTCTCTGATATTTGGGGCACCACGGTGGCGAGATATTAACTACCTTGACTAGTATACAGGGGGTCGTGGATTCGGCCCCGGACCCTCATGATGCCCGTATATTTGGAGTTTACATATTTCCCCACGTGGATTTTTCTCCGGGTCCTCCGGGTTTTCTCTCCTCATTTAGAAACATTCTTTTCGATTATTTGGCTGCTAAAAAAAATTCCCGTGATAAGCCACTTTGTTGAGCTATCATTTGTGGGCAGGTCGCTTCTGAAAAAGGGCTATATAGCTCAGTGGGCCTTACCTGGTAAAATAAAAATAGTTGATAGTTTCGTAGTTTTTATTTTGCTATCACAATGCATGGCAATAACCTGGGAATTCTAGGTCAGCCTTTAGCTTTTCCCTGACCTAGAGCATGCGTGTCGAATGAAGGTGTAGGTGCATTATGTTTGTCCAGGCAGATGAGTGTAGATCTCGGAGTTGCCCCCTTTCCCCCGGAGTGGACAGTAATAGGGCTCCTCCACTGCATCCTGGCACAGGAGGAGACAAGTCACACCGCGTGCGGTGACAGCCGTCACTCACACACACACACAGATCCCACTTGGCTGCTGGAAACCGTTACGACAGCAGTTGTGACCGCAGTCCCCCCGCTATTACATTCCTTAGAGGCCGTCCATGAATGACGTCACGCACCTAGGCGGGGGAGGGGTCAGACATTTGTGACGATGTGTGACGAGGGGGGGGGGGTTGATAAATCTGACGTCACGTCAAAATGCGCAACTTTAAATAAATATAGACAATACGTTCTACTTAATTAAATAGACTTTTAAATAAATGTTTCTCCTACAACATCAAAGTGCAGCGCCACATTAAATACGCACTACAATGACAATAGTTTAAGGCGATTTGAAGAATGTTTTTGTTTTGGGGGGGGGGGGCAGAGCTTTGTGACGTCATATTTGAAGGGGGGTCTGACTATTTGTGACGCCGTGTGACGAAGGAGGGGGGGGGGGGGTCAAAAATCGTCCAAAATCACGTGACGTCATTTATGGACGGCCTCTTACAACGTACATCGACCACAAGATAGGCGAATGTAAAGCAATACGTATCATGTGTGTAATGCTATCAACAGTTTCACATGCCAGTCGAGTTTTTGTTCTATCTCCTTTATTCGTGAATCATGTTGTCTGGGTGACTTAATAATGCAGCCGCTCTTTGCTGCATCTTCATAAAGCTTGACAAAACTGTGTTGATTTCTGCTAAGTCTGCTCCCCGCTGTTCACACCTATATGTACGTATCTTGAAATTCTTTCGCACCTTACGTAACCAGACATGCTAATCGGAGGTGCGGGGGAAGGATAACAAACTAAAACAAAAAGCAGTTCTAAAGAAATGAGTTTCCACGCCTCCGAAGTGCGCAAATCCACCAGACAGATGTAAACGTGGCTCTGACCAATCACAGGGTGAGGAAGCATCCCAGTGGTGTCATGAAATCGGCACGGGTCAAGGCTGCCTGGTGGGGCTTTGGACAATCCATGGGAGAGATTGTGCAGCCAAAAATAGGCCATGGTCGTGCTGCGTGTCTCTCTTTCTCTCTCCCTCCCTAACAATGCTTGAAATCTCTCTATTCTTCCATATCGATAGATTTTCGATGTATTTTTCTGTCCAATAATCCGTTTTCACCTCTGTGCTCTCTCCAATGGTCCCTTCTCGACTCTTGAGCGAAATATGAATGGAAGGTTCGGGCCAACATAATCTGAAGGTTCACCGAGCGGTAAATAAGCAAGATATTTACGATATACAACGCGGCACACAATCGTTCGTGTTTATAGTTTCCTGTTAATTTTAAAGTGTAAAAGTCACACTTACCGAAGCGTGTCCTTGCGCAGCAAGTGTGCCAAGTCCTTGCAATTTTGATTTCAATGACAGGCATTCTGTTTTGAGAACATAAAAAACATGTATTAATTTGGTTGTTTTCAAACAATAATTATCAACGAATGCGTTTTAAGCTGATGGGCTTCATCACAGAGGCAGTCAGTGACGTTGCTTTAATAAAAAAACAAGTTCCATGCATGATCGCGTTTCAGCCGCGTCGCTTTCTAAATTTACTTATTCTATGAATTTGCCAAGTAAATAAGGAGCCCGTGGAGTCTCCTTCATATATCCGTCCCCCCACTTAAAACATAATAGTGTGCCGTGTGGCTAATGGGATGTGTATAAAGTAAAGTTATGGATTTTTACGTGGAGGGACGGATATGCAAAGCAGGCGTGTTGTCTGCTTCCTTATGTTGTTACTTGTATTCTCTACGTCGGCGCGAGTGTTGGCTTTGTGTTTTATGAGTCGATGTGTGAGGATGGACTGCCAACTTTACCCTTTTTATGAAGAATTCAGACCGAAAATGTCATCATGAATTGATTCAGACCAGATTTTGCCCACGTCCAAAAAACAACCGAAAGAAAATATGGACTACATTTTGCAATAAATGTAGACTACATTTAACAATGATTGCATAAAAAAGTGAATAAGGATACATACAAAAAGTACCTAAAGCAAGTACATTGTACTTGAAAGTGTTCATATACCAAAAATATACAATTTCTGGAAATGAAAATTATTATATTATGCAAATATATGCAATGGATAAAATTGTACAATTTGTGATAACATATAAAAAAATGGGTACGAGCAGCCGGCAAACATTAAAATAACTGCGGTCCAATCAAACACATTCACAGAGGTTTTATCAAAACAATTTCATAGTTTTTATTCATACTCTGCTTTGGTTGAAATTGTATTAACATGGAGTTGGGAGTGATTGTAGAATGGAATGCCAGGTCGCTTCTGAAAAAGAGCTATATAATAGCTCAATTGGCCTTACATGATAAAATACATTTTTTTAAATGTATAGTTTAGTTTCGAGAATTGATGCCAGACACAACCTTATATTCACACTAGGTATGTCTTAGGCTCCAAAGAGTTGGATCTGGAAAGCGAAATCACAGCTGTAAGATTAACTTATTTATTTGTGAATGCGTTGAAGACAAAATTGGCCCAATGCTTTCTCCTCCTGTCTGGAGATAGGCCGAAGACTAAACTTAGAATAGAGAATAGAGTAGTTCGTGTCAAGGATGAAATTGTAAGGCGTAATGAAAATTGGAATTAAAATTGTCCAACGCTAAGCCGGAAGCAGATGTGTAAAAAACTTCGGCGTAATCAGTAACAGGCAGAAACGTAGATGGAAGAGATATTATACAACATGTAAATCCACAAACCACTGAACATTTTTACCAGAATGCCAATGCTATATTTACCGCCCTTACCTTCTTTCACCTTCACCAGTTTGTATATTAACAACATGGACACTGGCAGCAGCACAGCCACCGTTACGACGGCGATGAAAAACAGCGTCTCGTAGGGCCTGTCTGGTAATTTGTTGGCCTGAGATTCCTGAACCGCACTTGAGTTCTGACAGCCATGGGTACTGGGGGTGGCCAACCCTGAGATGCATCCTTTTGGGAGAACGATTCCGTCAGTTTCTTCCCCTGTGAATATCAGCCACAACACCAGTCGCACTGCTCTGCCAAGACCGATAAATATTTCGCTCATATCACCACTACTCCGCACGACGCTAACCATTCTCATTTGCCAGATGAGACGCCGGCAAGTCTAAATTGTATTTTAATTATCCAACAAAAGCGATGAAAGATGTTGTTCAACTGAACATATATCACTCATTTAAATACAGCACACGTTTCACAATTTCGTATTAATAAAAAAAATGTTGCATTAAAATGAACACCTGTAGCACTGAACACCTAACACGCTGACAAGTCGAAATTGTATTTAATTATTCAACAAAAGCGATGAAAGATGTTGTCCAACTGAACATATATGACTCATTTAAATACAGCAGACGTTTTACAATTTAGTAGTAATTAAAAAAAGGTTTGGATTAAAATTAACACGTGACGCGAAGCCAGTCTGAAACAGGAGGCTTGTGCTCTCGGCCATACGCATGCCCATTGGTGGTTACCTCTTTCTCTCTCGATCACGGTCAGTTGATATTCGAGCTTCTGCACAAGTTTGTTTGCATGAATGCCGAATAGGCAGCGGTACGTTGCTTTATCCTCCGCACGCGCTGCAGGTATCAGCAGAGAGGAAGGGGTTCGTGCCACGCCAATGATTGACGACACGCAATTCCCATCCTCATGTTAACAACCCAAAATATCCAAAACCCACGTTGCATTCTCTACTTTGCCGTGCAATTTGGAGTTGCTCCGTGCCAGCGTCCGTGTTCTGTGCACCATGATTCTCCTCCGTGTCACCTCTTTACGGAGCCATCAGCAATACCACAGGACAGCACCACCTGATCTCCTGAAATCGCTGTTAATGCCCGGGTTTCATTCGCCGCACCTAGGAATGGCGGGATGGGGGAAGTCAGGGAGAGAGAGAGCAAGCATTGGGACACACAACAACATCAAATCAACACGCACATTTTACCACGTGTGGTTTTATTTAAGCGAACAAAATTCATAAATGTTGCGTACGTATATGATTTGAAGAGAGGACGTCAACCGAGGAGATGGAGTGATAAGGTTAGTTCATGCGCAGGTGCTGGGTGGATTATTGCATCGTAGGATCGTTCAAGGTAGTGATAGCTTGGGGAGGCCTTCATCCAGCAGTGGATTGATCATGGCTGATGATGATAGACATGCATGTGTATGAATGGAATGAACAAGTATTTTGTATTGTAACGTAAATAATGTATAATAGTGATAAGCAAGTTGGAAAAAATCATGTCAAATCGCGATATGTAATTAATGCAGGCCTGAGCGAACACGCAGGTAGGTGTTTGCGACCGGGAAACTCCCAATTCTACCATAGTGGCTACATTTAAATCAAGGCTTCAGGCCAATTTGTATGATTTTGCTTTCTGACTGTATCATGGTATCTTGTGATTATTTTACTGTTTTAATAATTTCTCTTTTCATTATCTGTTTTTATTGTTTTACGAGCGCCTTCTTTGAGAACATATGTCTTTGTAAAGGTTTTGTTTCATCTTAAATTGTGTGGAGTGGCCTTGAATCTTGTGGTATGAAAGGCCCTCTGAAAATAAAGATTGTTATTGGTGTTGCTATTATAATAGATTACTTGTATCATTATTCATTGGTGTTTGGGTGAGATAGCTGTGTTGGGTGGAAGGGTGTAAAGGGTGGAGGAGAACTAATTGGTACCATTTGGCAATCTACTTACGCAATCCAACCTAATAAATAATTGTAAATTATATTGCGCTGCAATAGTTTTTACTCCGTATAAATATGGATCTCAGTTCACGTGAGAGACATCTTATTGACCGTTAAGGCTAATAGGTTGGCTTGGAGAGGTCATGCTGCTGCCCGGGATGAAGGCGGATGGTCAAGGCCAATGACAGAATGGCAGCCAGCGAGTTAATTGTAGCGATGCATTTAATCCTCTGCTACTTTTGGGTTAATGAATAGTCATATTGCAATTACCATGGTGACAGTTACTATGGTGTGAGGCTTGAAAACAATTACTGTGGTGTCAGAGGTTATAGTTGTCATGATATCAGAGTGAAAATTTACCATGGTGTGAGAGGTAACATCGGTTAATATGGTGGGGGAGTCAACAGCTACCATGGTGTGAGAGTTAAACACAGTTTCCATTGTGAGAGTTAACACAGCTACCATGGTGTGAGAGTTAAACAGAGTTTCCATTGTGAGAGTTAACACAGCTACCATGGTGTGAGAGTTAAACAGAGTTTCCATTGTGAGAGTTAACACAGCTACCATGGTGTGAGAGTTAAACAGAGTTTCCATTGTGAGAGTTAACACAGCTACCATGGTGTGAGAGTTAAACATAGTTTCCATTGTGAGAGTTAACACAGCTACCATGGTGTGAGAGTTAAACAGAGTTTCCATTATATTCTTAGTTTTTTCGGTAAAGTCACGTTGAAGAGAACAACAAAATAACAAAATATATATAAAACAATAAAAAATTCTCACGACGTTTCGACCATAACTCAAACGGTCATCATCAGGTGTGTCGGTTTGCATAAATTTATTTAGAAAACGGCATATTTATTTATTTATATAAAAATAACGTTTGCGTCACGCGCAACGATTGGCTGTTTGCCAGGACTAGTCCATCTATTTTTTGAAAAGAGGAGGGGGGAGACGAAATTTGTTTTTATGTATGCTGTCTGAAAGCCACTGTAAGCGTGAACAATCAATCAAGAACTGAAATGATTTATCAAATCTTTCCAATGATTGCTAAGATAGAATCCATCTTCTCGGTTGAAATTGTCTCTGTGTTTGTATATGTGGATAGCCTCATGAACGAATCTCTCATGGAAGCCAGATGGCTTACAAAGAACCTCCGTCTTGGAAAAGTCAATGGCATGTGAGCCTACTGAATTAGAACAATGATCTGCTACGGCCGAGGTGTTGGTCCTACCGTGTTTAAGGTCTGCTTTATGTTCACGAATGCGGTCCGAGATATGGCGTTTGGTTTCTCCAATGTAACTACTACCACAGAGGCAACTTAGTTTGTAGACACCAGGGTATTGTATGTCCGGAATCACATCTTTTACAGACGGAACCAGATCACGGATTTTATGTAATGTGTTGAAACGGACCTGGATCTTGTGTTTATTCAAGAATTATATAAATTAAAAAAGAGGAATGATATTGTAGTTCTCTCAGCTGACAAAGGCAATGCTACTGTTATCATGGATAAAATAGAATACAACAACAAAATTAAAGAATTACTCGACGATGGTAGTTATACAAAAATAAAAAGAGATCCCACCAACAGCCTCGTCACACAAACCAACAAAATAATTTCTGATTCAACCGCATTAATTGATCAATCTAAACAGTTTTCATTGAAACCTTCTGCTGCCAGGCCACCAAGATTATACGGCTTACCAAAAATACATAAAGTTGATACACCTCTTCGTCCCATAGTCTCTACTATCAGCTCCCCCACCTACAAACTAGCTCGTTTTTTTTGTCTGAAATCCTGCGTCCTTTCACTGGAAAGACCACCTCTGCGGTACAAAATTCTACTCACCTGGTATCAACAATCAAGGGTATTTCCCTGTCCCCAGACGACCTGCTTGTCAGTTTTGATGTAGTTTCCTTATTCACCAAGGTTCCTGTACCTGACACCATTGCAATCATTGAAGACTTGGTTCATCAAGGACTAAACACTGAGGTACCCCCCCTGGTGAGACACTGTTTAACCAATACATACTTCACTTGGAATGGAACTTTCTACAAACAAACTGAGGGCACCCCAATGGGCTCCCCCCTTTCTCCAGTTATAGCTAACATTTTCATGGAGAAATTTGAGACTGACACCATCCAGACTGCCACTCTGCGCCCAACCTTATGGAAGAGGTACGTGGATGACACTTTTGTCATCTGGCCACATGGCCGGCCTGCTCTAGACCAATTCTTCGACCACATCAATTCCATACACCCAGCCATCAGATTTACCATGGAAGTCGAAATAGATGGCAAGATACCTTTTTTGGATGTCCTAATTAAAAAGAGACCTGATGGTTCAATGAGCCACTCTGTCTACAGGAAAGCTACCCATACGGATGCTTATCTGAAACCGGATTCCCACCACCATCCATCACAGAAGAATTCTCTCATCAAGACTCTGTATCATAGAGCCCAATGCATATCCGACCAGGAACACATAAGCAGTGAACTCAAGCACGTACACCAAGCTCTTAGGGCTAATGGTTACTCCGACTATACAATCCGCAAAGCTATCACTCAAACCATGAAGAAGAACCCTCTTGAGGAGCCTTTCAAAACCATCACTTTACCCTACATTGCTGGGATCACAAAAAAGATCTCCAAAATCTTGAATAAACACAAGATCCAGGTCCGTTTCAACACATTACATAAAATCCGTGATCTGGTTCCGTCTGTAAAAGATGTGATTCCGGACATACAATACCCTGGTGTCTACAAACTAAGTTGCCTCTGTGGTAGTAGTTACATTGGAGAAACCAAACGCCATATCTCGGACCGCATTCGTGAACATAAAGCAGACCTTAAACACGGTAGGACCAACACCTCGGCCGTAGCAGATCATTGTTCTAATTCAGTAGGCTCACATGCCATTGACTTTTCCAAGACGGAGGTTCTTTGTAAGCCATCTGGCTTCCATGAGAGATTCGTTCATGAGGCTATCCACATATACAAACACAGAGACAATTTCAACCGAGAAGATGGATTCTATCTTAGCAATCATTGGAAAGATTTGATAAATCATTTCAGTTCTTGATTGATTGTTCACGCTTACAGTGGCTTTCAGACAGCATACATAAAAACAAATTTCGTCTCCCCCCTCCTCTTTTCAAAAAATAGATGGACTAGTCCTGGCAAACAGCCAATCGTTGCGCGTGACGCAAACGTTATTTTTATATAAATAAATAAATATGCCGTTTTCTAAATAAATTTATGCAAACCGACACACCTGATGATGACCGTTTGAGTTATGGTCGAAACGTCGTGAGAATTTTTTATTGTTTTATATATATTTTGTTATTTTGTTGTTCTCTTCAACGTGACTTTACCGAAAAAACTAAGAATATGAATTACTGCAGTCACGAAAGCTTTAAATCAAAATTTAATCGCCTCTACGGGGAGGGTTTTCACATAACTTTAAGATCCTTCAACAAACTCCGGGATAAGAAAGCTCAGCTGATCGAGTCTCTCACCTTCCTGAAGAGATGCCGCGACTCTGGGGTAATACCAATCGCATTTACACTCACCTCTGCTACTGTAACTTCTTCTAATGCGAAACGAATTCTTTTCAAAACTAGCTTAGCTCTTATCTCAGAAAAAATCAGACTTATACGCACAGAACTAGATCAGTTAGACAAGACACTCTACAAATCACACTTATCATTGACGGCAATAATGTCCACATCGGATTGGGAACATGTAGACAATATGACTGCCTCTTCAGCTGCTACTATGTCGACCAAATGTAAGGAAAACCTGATTTCCAAATTTAACCTCCTATTCAACAAAAGACCGGACCCACACACCAAAAAGTTAGACGTTAATAAAGTCGTAATTAATCGCAGTAACAGTTCTATTTCCGATGGTCTGAAATCCGTTTTAGCTAAAGGTCTAAACTTTGCAGTCACACCTAAACATATACCAGTTAATGATATAATTGCCCAAGTAGACGTTGCTCTCAGGGGCCTGGGTCACATCGCTGCAGACGTAGCAAGATCTGAAATCGCTGCAACCCTCAAAAACGCTAAGATGCCAGCTAGCAACCTCAGCAAAAATGAGCGTTTTGAATTATATAAATTAAAAAAGAGGAATGATATTGTAGTTCTCTCAGCTGACAAAGGCAAT